GGGCGAGAAACGAAAAAGGAGACTCTTACAATTAAAACTTTCGCAGTTTTGAGTCACTTACAATGCTACATTTTAACTCTAATTTTGCATGTGTGACCAGCATGTTTACGAAGTGGATTTTTTTAAAGAATTGAAATCATTACTAGCAAAAGTAACGAGGCTTGGAGCATTTCTTGTATACCACAGGTATTCAGTGACTTGAAATGTAGACATTCTGAAATGTAGAATGTTCTGATAAACAGCCTTAAATAAGTACTCAACATTCTGATGTAATGATTTACCAACTGGATGTATTACTTATTTCCTCTGAAAATCCTTCGGAGGTTGATAAAGCATTTTCGGTATAAAAGGATTGTTTCCCCAAAAAAATAAAGTAGATTGTTCTTCCGCAATATCAGTGCGAAAACACTACATTTATTTTAGAGTTTCATTAAAAGTTTAAATGAAATAACTTATATGCAGACATTAGGATTTCTCTCTTAGATGCGTTAGTTTTTCTAAGCTTTTAACTGTCTTTTGAAGATTAGAGAAGGTTTCCAAGGAAAAGCAAGATCTCCGTTTTTTGCATCGAAAATGGATAAGTTAGATGCATTTTAAAAAAGAACAAAAGGAGGTAAGCATGTGTGTGCGATTTTTTGTGGGCTTTAATGACATATTTTGGGTGGACGCTTTGATCACGGGACAATACTAATGGCCACTGTCAGTAACCAGTGGGCAAGGTAGATACCCTTCAATTGTTTCATGTAACTGTTAAAACGTTCACTTGAACAATGGATTGTGTGATAACGAGCGGCTATTGTGTGCAAAACGATCACTGCTCTAAAACCTTGTCAATGGTATTTTTCCTCGCGAGTGTCAGCGCCAATCTGAAATAACAGGCTGGTGTACAAATTGCTGTTTCGGTTATGGTAGTAGGCCTTTTGATGACCAAGGAAGTCAAATATTTCTAAAGACATGGTAAGTTTTCTATAAAAGAATTCTTCCTTAATACTCATGACTCATTTGTCTAAAATGTAAACTTCTCATAACCAGTTCTTTAAAATAGGATATTACAGAAAATAAGTCCAACGGTTAGACTGGGCATGATAATAAGTATTTTAGGCTCATTACAGCCTGATCATTAGTACATTGGTCCAGCAATCAAGTCTCATACCAAGTATTTCCCTGACATCTTCAATCCCTGCTTCTCCTGGAACTCCAGCTCGTTAGGACACATAAGACGCTTTCACACATTACGCAGTTTCATGGCCCTGACCCCATTCTTTCGTTGTTCTGAATAATCACTCTCTGATTTGAATTGCTAAAAACTCCACCCCTGTGATTAGGGAAATACCGAAGTTATCCAGATCATGCTTTGCTTTACATTTCCGAATTGTGTAGACTACAACAGTGTGTATATAGACCCGCACATAACACACGCTTTAAGAACGCTATTCAAGGGGACAGGAAACTTTATCAACGGTTTCAACAGCGTGTTTAGCCCCAGAAATAAAAGAAAACAACCGGATTTTGATCCCTCGACCCATCACGCTCCAAACACTTGCTTGTGCCAACTTCAATAATGATGATAATCCATTAAAAGCATTATATATATATATGCATTTGTATTTTCGCATGTTGAATTGGGTAATTATGGCACCAAATGTTTAGTCTAAATTGTATTAAACGTCTAAGATGTCTAGTTTTTTTTTCAGGAGGGAGAATACAATTTCAATGCAGGAAGATTAAGGGAAAATATCCATATTCTCATAAACTAAATGTCCATAATATATGCATTTTTAAAAACTCCCAAGTGAAAGTGTAGATGGACAGACTGTATCGCAGTGGTGTGTGTGTGAGTAGTAATTGAATAGGTTTGCCTTTTCGCAGTTTCACATTCACTCGCCCTCATTATTTATGGGCTTTTAAATTGTTTAAGGTTCCTTGACGTTGAATTTACAAGTTCAGAGGGGCCTGTTTTTTTTTCCCCCTCTTTTGTTTCCACCAAAAGCATGGGGCTGGAAAAGGCTTTGAAACTCCATGACATGAAGAGGCATTCAGTGAAAGATAGCGAAGCCTTCTCAACTCCGTCAGGTTCATCAATAGGCTCTTTTACATAATTGCGAGAGGATTGTTTTTGAAAAGTCAAGGGCTTATTTCACGTAGAGCCACATGGAGTCTTTTTGGGTCTTTCACATTAAAAATAAAGCGAGGGGCCATGAATGTGGCAGGTTGAAAAGGGGAAGCGTGAATGAGAGTCTTCTCGCAAATTGGTGTGTCTGATGGAGATTTTTCCTCCAAGGACAAGGACCTCATTGTGGTTAGCAGCATCCTGCACATAGTAGGGGAAATATTTGGGGTTTGGTAATGTGGAATGGAGGAGAAGGCGCACGAGAGAGGGGGTGGGAGGCGGTAAATAAGCACCATCCTGTTTGAACAACACCACCCTTCTTTCATGCCTCGAAAACTGGTGGTTATGGCAATATAATGACACAAAGAGTGGGGCATTAGGATGGCTGTATAATTAATCCGAAAGAAAGAATAGCGCTTAGCAGAGTCACTATAGAAGAGTGCAATTGTTCGTACGCAGGGGTCGATGGATGTCAGATGCAATTATATGAAGCAAGTTGTCACCTGACACATGTTTTTAGAAATTTAAGCGACACTTTCCACCTGCACGCACCTCGGGATATCCCTTGAAGGTATTGAGGATAACTAGTGAGGAAACATCGTTGTTTTTCTTTTTCTTTTGTTGAAGAGACAGTAGGAGTTCGGACTCTCTTGTGTCCTACTATAAACCGTCATTATCACGTTTATTGTTGTTGTTATCAGCATCATCGTCTCCAGCACTTACACTTTAATCATTTTGTAAAAGAGCAGTCAGTCGGAGACCATCCATCAAAATGTACATAGCAGCGAAGCCACAATCGGGCTGATCAGGTATGAAATAGTAGTTTGTGATGCCCCCGCAACAATCGATTTTATATACAAGGTGTCCACTGCGATGAAGTGGCGGAGACAGTACATCATCAAAGCCTCAGGTCAGAGGGTAATGGTGCGAGATAAACTCGTGTCTAGAAATCATCATTAAGGACTACTAGAGAAAGATTTACCTCCGAAAGGAGTATTATCCAATCAATAGACGCATTAAAATCGATTACCACTTTTATTTTCCAATTAAGGCTACATTTCGCTGCAAGGCCAAGTTGTTTTTGACTGCTCTGTCTCGCGAATCCGAAGCCCCGTACAGAGGATATGTGGGCTAGACTGTACATTACCATAAACACGTGAGATACACAAATTAATCGCTTTCATTGTCGCCTCATTTCTTCGCTTATAAATCATTTCGAAGCACGGTGAGAGGGAAGTAGCGGAGTACAGTGAAGGGATAAGATTCGGGCTCTGGTATAGAACGACGTTTCGACGATTTGCGAAGAATCGTGGCGCATGGTTCTTTTTTCTTTTAAAAGAAGTTTGTCAGATAAATGTAGTTAACCTTAGATAAGTATAGTGACAAGGGATATTGAAAACTAAACCTGAAATACCCGTGCGGCTTAACATTCTTTATTTTCCCATTAAAATTAGTTTTAGATTGATCATCTAAAACTAAATCTAGATTTACTCAGGCTCTATCCCAATTTTTTTTTCTGGAATTGAATGTGATCTTTTTGTGATCTTAGTTTATTTGTATCTGTCAAACGTGGTCTAAACTGAACGGAAAACTGCACCTAAAAAAAACAGCACCCACAGATATGCGCAGAAAACGGTTTTTTAGTTCGCATGTCCTGAAAATTGATTCCAATAATGCCACTTTCTTATTATTCCTATTTTTCAAGTCGATGCAGACTATTTTTTACAGATAACTATGTTTTTGATATATTATTTTCCACTTTGGTTAATTTGTGTACATTAAGTTATTTAATTATGATTCAAGGTCTGCTAGCGCAAGGCAGTAAATCTAGTCTGACAACATTGTGTCTCACATAGATTCAGCCTATGGAGAGCTTAAAAACAATTTAAAGGTAAAACGCATCAATGTCTTGCAATCTCTTCAGATCTTCTTTGCCCTTGGGAAAACAAGTCTCGTGTATCGCCTTAAATCTTGCTACAGTATGGGCCTAGTGTAAATTTATGCTAAAAGACAAAAAGGCTCGTAATACCACGAAATGTTTCTCCAGTGTTTTGAAAAGTGTGGTTATTAGCAAAACTGTCTAAACGAGCACTAGGCGTTTTTGAGCAGATGTTTGTGTCGAATTGGTAAACGGTGTGGGACCTTATTGACCAGGGTGGTTGTAGTATTGCGCACTGCCAACTCAGAAGGACCGACAATTCTCGAAACAAGAACTTTCTAATACACTATGTTGAGTACTGTTGTTATATGATTATTATTCCGCATTCATCATGGGTTTAATTAAAACATTAATGGGTTTTGATTCAGTCTGTCGGACGACGCTCGAAGGGCACTGTTAAAAGAGACGGCCATCCTTTCCAATAAGACGTCTGTCTTATGTCTCCTGTCTTATCTGTCCATCCTTTTTCATTAGGCCTTGAAATGCCGTGTATCTTGGTCAGCTACTGACCAGATTAGTGGCATAAAAATAGAGTGGTTAAGAGATTAAAACTAAATACATATTTTTTGTAATCAAGCACTAAACCCAATAGTTTATATAAATCATTTGGAAACTTAAAAGCAATATTCTTAAAAAAAACATATCCTGCAAACGGCTTGTGCTGTTGTTCCGCGTTTTGTGAACCCCATCGTTTGCAGTTTAATGTGGATGGTGCATTTTTGTGGTCATTGTTGTTAGTATTACAACGACTGATTTACCTGTGCACGGCTGTCAGGGCACCGTTGGGAGGCGTGTGTCCATCTGGAATTTTGACCCAGCGCTTCAGCCCAGCGTTTTCTCTCCGACCAATCAGGAATCGCGGAGATGTGAGGGGGTGGTCCTGACGCGGGGATTTTGCAATTAAACTGAAGGAGCGCAATTTAAACCTACAGCCGAGTACATAGAGCAGAGAGGAGCTGAGAGTCGCTGCACACCGAGAGAGCGAGGAGAGCGACTGGCTAGAGAAAGACAATCGGGATCACCCAAGGAGAGTCTGCACCTTACAAAAGCGGAGAGAGAATGAGGAGCAGGAGCATTTCTGTCTCGTTTTCTGTGCAGCTAAACGCGTGAAAGCTGAAGAAACTGGATTTTTTTCACCCTTCAGAAAGAAGACAGCTGACGGGACATTGCTTTCTGAAACCCCGTTTTTTTTTTCTCAGTTTTCTCCAACTTTACGTTTCCAAACCCGCGGCTGTAACACACCCTGCAAAGGACGGTTTTAAAACGTATTATTATCAATAGTTTCCTGCTAGTGCAAAAAGGCAAACATTCTCTGCCTGTTTATAAACAACCTATCAATGTGTTTCTTCTAATGGGTTCATTTACAAGAAGGATGAACGATCAAATGACAATGTCTGCGGAATTGTGAACGCCGGGGGTTGCTTTACTCGACTTTATTGTTAGAATTATCTTTGCGAACATTCATAGCTTTAAACACGCCTGGTCTCCTCTTTTGTTCCTATTTCAAATCCCCACTATCAGAGCTTATATGAGTGCAGCTTTCAGTCCGTCGCTGATGATGATGCAGCGCCCTTTGGGAAGCACTACAGCCTTCAGCATTGACTCCCTGATTGGAGGTCCGCCGCAGCCAAGCCCGGGACACTTTGTGTACACTGGCTACCCCATGTTTATGCCATACAGGCCGGTGGTCCTGCCGCCGCCACCTCCTCCGCCTCCGACCTTGCCCCAGTCCGCGCTGCAGCCGGGTCTCCCCCCGACGCACCCTCACCACCAGATACCCAGTTTGCCCAGCAGCTTCTGTTCGAGCCTGGCGCAGGGCATGGCTCTCACCTCCACGCTCATGGCCACCCTGCCTGGCGGCTTCTCCTCCTCCCCGCAACATCAGGAGGCGGCGAGGAAGTTTGGCTCCCAGTCCCTGCAGGCTGTCTTTGACAAGACGGAGGACGTTCGGCCGGATGGGGACGAAGGCAAGACGTTTCTGGGCAAAGATAACGCGGTGCTGCCGCCGTTCCAAGCCTCCGAACCTCTGCAGTCATCCATAGGTGAGAACTAAAAATAAAAAGACGTATTAGACAGAAAGGTCTCACTTCAGGTGAAACTTGTTAAACTACTAGAGGCTATGGATTAGAGGTGTCTTAAGTAAAATTGTGTAAACGTTAGAAGTATAGCATACATTTTTCAAAATTCTAGCCAGGTTCTAGTCTGAAAGCATACTCTATCGTGGATATCATAAAATATTGTAGAATGAGCGTCGTGTAACTGTAAGAATGATAATAAATACGACAGGCTAAATTCATGTTGTATTAAATCTGCTTTCAAGTATTTATGACACATTCATCCTCAGATTATTGGTATGGAAATAATTTGATTTTCGTTGCAAGTGAAGCGCGGAGTATTTGATTTTAAACTGGACCTACCTGTGTTCGAAATATGCCTTGTATTTGCGACATTTAAGGAGGATTGCCAATAAAGTCCTTATTTAAATAATGTCAATCATAGAATCGAAAACAGAAAGAAAAGTACACCTTAAAAAAAGTTTAGTTCATCACATTTTGCTGTGTCAATATTATTTTAGAAACGATGTCCCAATATTTTACATCAGAACTTTGTAGCCGAGTGAAAAAAGATACGCTCGCCATTCAAGGTTTTCATTCTGAAACGGAAAAGGCACCTTAAATATGATATTGTGTTATTAATTTCTCATCACCTTAATATAAAAATCCTCTTTTTTTAAGACAAATTGTCGTTTTGTACACGACACGCATTTTTGGGGAAAAAACGAAACTTTGTGCATAGTTTAATGAACTATTGAAAATGTTTTTAAATGAAACTTGTCACAATATTGCAATATCATTAAGGCTGTTTTCAAATGAATGAAAAGCCTCCCTTGAAGGCTCAAGAATGTAATGACATTCGTTTCTAATATCAAATGGGTTTATTGAAGACTCGTATCAACCTTTTGAAGGCATTCTGCCCAGGGCGAGTCTAATGACTGAATTCTTTCAATTGAGAGACTTGGGGAACGCTGGCGGAAGCTAAATGTCTCGTTATGTAATTATTAGTAAGATCTGGTGTAAATACGAACGGAATGAAACGTAAATTTCGAAAAGTATTAAATGGTTTAGGGTTTAACGTCGGTACTTCTAAATACGTTACGACGTTTAAGGTTGAGAACTTAACACTGAAGTGTTCCGAAGAAAGTTATAAAATACACATAGATACAACAAACAGGCCAGAGTGTTTACAAGCGTTTAAACAGTTTGAAAGCTTCTAACGGGTTCCAATATAGAGGAGGCACTGGAAACTGTTTTCTATAGAGCATATCTTCAGAAAAAGTCTACAGATTAAATCCTAGCCGTTAGTACTAAATACAAGCCGCTACAGATTAAATCCTTAACATGGTCATGCATTTCTAAGGGAAGAAGCTATTTTTTTCCTTGTTTAATGTGTAAGACAAGCGATTCGGCGCGATTTACCACACCGTCCTTAAATGCTAATGCATTTGTGTATTTCATTTAGATAATTTAAGCAACAGTTGTGTTCAGGAGACCCATCAATCAAAGAGTGCTTTTGCAACAGCTGTCATCCCAATCCGTGTCAGCTCAAGAATAGCGTAATTTTAAAAAGTCACTTCAAATTGACATTGACATTGCGGTGTAAATATTTGTCTTCATTTAAGAAGTGGGAACACATGTATTACTTTTTCCACAAAATATGTTAGAAACCAACAAATATGTTTATCATTAGTGCTATTGAAACAATTTAAAATAAAAAGGGGGGGTTTAAACTATCTTGTACCCAGCATACTTTTATGTGGGCTATTTTCTAAATTTGACTTCAAATTACTGAATGTAGCAATTAGCAGGAAAAGACAGTCATGCATGAAGTATTTGAAATCCTTTTCTCATAAAGGGTAGCAATGACTTCAGTGGATGTACAATAAGTGAACACTTTCTTTGACATCGGAATACATCGGACTAGAAAAGGTTTAGTTTAATGCTATCCATAAACTGTACGCAATCATAGGGTGTGGAAATTTCGTGTAATATAAGCACTTTTTGAGGTGTAATAAACAGTGTTATCTTCTTTTCCTAAATTTCCCCCAAACAGCCAGAGCACAGAGCAAAGACGATACGAAAGAAGACGATTCCAACCGAAAGGACGAGAGTTTTTCAATGGACAGTGACTTAGACTACAGCTCGGACGAGAATGCCGCCAGTCAGACTCTGTGCCAAAAGGACGACGGAGATCCTACTGGACTGGAGGAGAGCGGTCACGGGTCAAACGGCACCAACAGCACCACATCCACTGGTAAAAACAGGCGGCGGCGGACAGCTTTTACCAGCGAACAGTTACTGGAACTGGAGAAAGAATTTCACTGCAAGAAATACCTGTCACTCACGGAGCGCTCACAGATCGCCCATGCCCTCAAACTGAGCGAGGTCCAGGTCAAGATCTGGTTCCAGAACAGGAGGGCCAAGTGGAAGCGCGTTAAGGCCGGTAACGTCAACTCCAAGACTGGCGAACCTTCCAGGAATCCCAAAATAGTGGTCCCCATTCCTGTTCACGTCAGTCGGTTTGCAATAAGGAGTCAGCACCAACAGCTGGAGCAAGCGAGACCCTGATCCACCCTTTCTCCTGTAGGACTGTGTTAAAAAGGACCAGATGGCGAATTAGGTTAAATACAAAGAAATGTAAAAAATATTTAAAACAATGAGGCATTATTAAACTAAAATAATTAAAGAAAATATCAAGCAGTTTTGGAAATAGATATCCTCACGATGTCGGTAGCTATATTTGAAGAGCTTGTTCATTTTATGTATTAAAAAAATCTTTATTATAACCGTTTTTTTCTGATAAAGATTCCCAAAAATAAAAATTAAAGGAAATATTTCAAGTTATTTATTAACGATCTCTCTGTACATACATATAGCCTATATTAAGGAAGAGCTGTGACAGTATTCCGAGACCAGAAACAGAATCATTTTCTCAGTCTTCAGAGTAATAACCAATCTGTTGTGCATTCCTTAAAACCCAAGGAAAGATTGAGCAGATGTATTTTATCTTTTTTTGTGGTTTTCTTTACTGTTCTTATGTGCTGCTTAAGTAGTGGATTAAGAGTGTATTTCTGTAGGCGTCCAAAAAATGTGTAGTCAAAAATCTGACTACCTTTGCTGACCATTAAGATTCATGAATTCGTTAAAAGCGGGAGGAAAACCGAAAATCAGTTAGAGTGCGCCCACTGAAACACACTCTGCCAGGTGTTGAGGTTGTCTCTTTCTCTTCTTAGTTCTGATTAATGCCACGTATTTTTTGTTTGCTTGACAATTTGTACATTAAAATTATTTGCATATGAAGATTTTTTAAGACAAGGCACGGTATTAATTTATTTCATATTGTGCAACAATGTATCTAATTTCTCATATAATTTAAGAAGCTTTCAACCAGTCTTGTGTGGATTAAAATGATCAGCAATTATGCATATATCTTGTCAGCTTGATTTTTTTTTAAAGAGACCAAGAAATTTACAACAGGCGCTTACTGATGCCTGAATTCTCACTAAGCTAATTATCACACTAATTTCTCACAATACTTATAGTCCTATCTTGTAGGTACATTTTTTTACTAATTTCAAGCACGTATTAAAAAATTGAAAGTGTCTTCAATGAAAAACTTTATATTTAAAATATTTCTAAACAAATTAATCAATATCTATGTATATCAGTAGTAGTCAAAAGTCACAGCACAATTCTAAAACAATTAAGCCATTCAACAAAGGTACGCAATAAGCTACACCACTGCTAAAGAATGATACCATATTTTGTACGAAAGTCAAATCGGTGTTAAGATTTTAATAGAAAACGCAAAATGCTTAAACCAAATAAAACGTGTAAGTAATTTAGGTGTAGTCCATTAATCTTAATTATTTACATTTTCTTTTTGGATTATAAGTATACAAATGTGCTAGGACCATTAAGATAAAGGCTGGTGAAATTCTCAAAAACGGTCTGAGAAGTTATTTTGCTGTCATAGTTTGCTTTCATCCCAAGGAATTAAACCTGACCTAGTCGCATAAAGGCGAGCACAAATTCAAACGTCACGCCTTGATGTGCTGAAGAGTTGGTCTGCCACGACACTCTTTACATTGTGACAGGGGGTGGGTAATATTGCTCGTGTTAAATGAAACTCAAGGTCATACAGCGTGATGACAACTAATTTTGCCCCAGTCAAACGTCATCATTAAGAGTGCTTTTATCAGCGCTGATCTCCTGTTTCACCTTGCACTCGCCCTCGTGGTGGATGATGGAAACATGACAACAGCAACACCCTGCCCGCGCCAGATGCGTTCGCCATGGCCAACTAGATGGGCTCCTAGTCGCAAGATCTCAACAGTTAAAATCTAGAAAATTCTAGGTGAGGAGACGCAGACATTTAAGAGGTCAAAGACGATTTGGGGGGTTATCATCAATAGCAGCAATAAGAAGAACACACCCCACACATAGAATTAAAAAAGAGCCAACTATCTTGTTGTACTTTCCGAACGTTTTCACTCCTGTTAAACGACCTTATAATATGTGGCGTTTTCAAAGATTAGATTCATAAAAGCAACGTTCAGATAACAACAGTTTCATTTTCCTTAAATTCCTTAATAATAATAATAATAATAATAATAATAATAATAATAATAATAATAATAATAATGCGTTTTCATAGCGTTTTTCATTCTGAAGGATCCTCTAATCATTTTAACGTTTCAAACTAAACGAGTCCTACTTTTCATGTTTTCAAAACGATGGTTGGTGAAAGGAGGGAACGGGATTCATAAAAATATCGGCAAATACTTATTTTTAATACTAATATTTAGTTTTATTTCACGATCTGTACTAACGACGTACACTCTACCTTTAGGAAAGTTTTATTTATAAACTAGACAGCTAAGCAATCGTTTGTTTAAAGTTAAACTTTAATTAATGGCCTCGTTTTTATGTAATGAAACTCAATTCAAAAAGAGTTCAATAGATACTGTGATGAATATCGGAAGCGCCGAGGTCTGTTAAAACAGGAATATTGATCAAAACTAATACTTCAAACATTTCAAGTGTTATTTTTACGTTTATAAACTTTGTGCTTTTTTCAAATGGGAAACACATTAAATGGAAATACGAAAAACTGTAAGTGTATAGCTACAAAACCAACTAAAGCAACTAGAACTGACACCACATAAGCCCAACACAATGTCGTCAACACAATGTCTCTTCATCTACATCATACAAAGTTTTCTTTTCAAAAACTGGTTGTCTGAGTTGAAACGTCACCAGTCACCCTAAAAACCAGAGAAAACAAGGGTGCTACGTTTTTATGTTCTTACTGTCTACGCTGTTATGTATTTTAGTTTAAATGATTTAACAAAGGATTTAAAAAATACTTTACGAAACGCAAGTATGAATACAACATTTTGAAAAGGGGCATTTATAGTTCGACCACTGACTTGTGATTTAAAAGAATTTACTGTATAATAATATCAGTTGGCTGGCAATACCTATGTATTTTTTTATCACGTTCTCTGTAAAATCACTAGTGTATTAAGCATGAGCTACTCTTTATCATGTTATCCTTGGCTACAAAATACAAATAGCACTTAGACAAAACTGATTTCAAATGAGATGGTATTTTAGGATTTTCCGGTCACAATCGTGTGAGCTAGACCAATTTACATAAAATATTAGAAGCACACGTAGCGGTGGCTGTAATTACTAATTTGACTAGTCTGTCAGGGATCACTCGAAGAATCCCATTGGATTGCTAATCTGTACATGTATGAATGTAAACATCCCTAATGTTAGCGCAAGCATGCTTTTAACAGTTCGCTAATAAGAATATTTGCTGCCTGAACCCTAATGTTTCTAATGCTGCAGCAGTGTTTTTTTTTATAGGAGTGCAAGCTTGGATGGCAGCCCTGTCTGACAGTTGTATGCTGCCTGTTTGTGATAGTTTTAACCCCAAGGGCATTTGCGCTATGATCGTACACAGGATTTCTTACAAACGATATAAGTTGCAACATGTATGACATCTGGGAGGGGGGAGGGGGTCGTTACTCGTGTTCTCTAGCGCAACATCGATGCTGCTCATGTTGGTTTGTACGGCCAAACTAATTGTTTTAGTTCATACGTACTGTATATCACACATACAAACTACAGAAGAAAAGAAACAGGTCAAGACAGACTGTGATTCAGACACAAGATTCCTTTTTGATGTATATATTATTGTAAGACAGCTTGCTGATGTGATATGTGCATGTTTGAAGAGTTTACACTAATGGGTTCTTGTATAGAATCTTAAAGAGAAGTTACTGGGACACTCCATTGGTTTACTATGGGCTTAAATCTACTTGGCTCTTTTAAAATATAGTTCTGTAACCTGTCATTTATACCGTCATGAGACAAACAAATCACTTTAATAATTTATTTCTGTCCAGATCTCTGTGCTACATAGGCTAATACACATTAATGCTTAAATATATTCATGAAAATACATTCTGTTTTAATTGTTTGAATTACCCTTTATTCTATTTTTTATTAAATCAAAATACTAACCAGTGATTTCTACAGAAATGGTCAATTATTGTAAAGCCAGGATTTACGAGCAGAGCTCACATCCTAGGTGAGCTCTCTTGTCAAGGTAATAGATGAGCTCTAATCACAGACTCTACAATTAGATCTCACATCGTCACAATCCCTCTTCTCTCAAGGGGAGATTGATGTTCATTTGTATTTTCAGATTCCCCTATTAGTTTTGGCTAGCACCCTTGCCCATACTATTTTAAAATTCTCACATTATTATTATTATTTTTATTATTATTACTATTATTAAAGAAGTAATAATTCTATATCAATTAGATTGCAATGGTACCATTAATTAAAATAACTATAATTGATTAAACTGGTAAAATCTGTTTGACAATACGTAAAAAATTAAATAAATACATGCACAAAAAGCATATATTGATTCATTCTGTCTTAATTTATTTACTGTATTTTTCAGTGTAAAGCTGGGAGGGTTAAAAAAAACATCTTCTCTTCTGCACTAGTTAAGGATTAACACAGAGACATGGTGTTTCTGACATTCTGATCAGCATCATTACTATGGATTTTTTTAACTACGGCATTCATGGGATCGAATATTGAGTCCGATTAAGCGATGGGGGGATGTAGAGAAAGAGATGTGTGTGTGAGGGGGGGGTGTGTGTGAGAGAGAGAGAAATATCTGACAATCGTCCTGGCTCTAATGAATTTTTTTGCAAATTGTAATCAAGCCAGGCCGTCTCGGATGGCTGATAAATGAGACCCGAGGGGCCTGGCTGGGACCTCAGCTTTTCATTCTACCATGTCCCTCCTGCACTAAATTAACAGCAACTTGTCTGAGCTTCAAATTAACTCCCAATGATTAATTCTGATGGAAGGGAAGTCTGGAGAATAGCTTGTCCTAATAGGCGCTGGCTTGACAATGCAGCTTGAAATTAATACACTCACCCCCCACAACACACACGCGTACACACACACGGACAACCATTAGACTAACCTCTGGTTCCCCTCCCCTCCAACAAACAAATCCTTAATAGATTCTTATTGGCACGTGCATGGAGAGTTTATACCAATGGGCCGCACAAACATAGTCTCTGTTTCTCACAATTCCACAAGGATGTTAGGTTCGAATTTGCTGATGTGCAATATATTGTTGTTGTTATTATTGTTGGATTAGATCAATGGAATACAAGCGGATGCTGGTACTGTCAAAAGATTTTTAGGAAATACTGTAGTTTACTGAAAAAAATGTTTTAGCTACAAACAGGTAATTTATAAAGCAGAACAATAGGATCAAGCTGCTGTTATATACAAGTAAGAAAGCGCAGTAAATGGGTTGTGCATTTATTTAAACAGTATTTTATAACCTGTTTTCATCCTTTTTTTCAGTTGGAGGTAGATAACGCTGGGCCACAGTTTTTGAAAGTATCCCAAAAAAACACTGCTTAAATTCTATACAAAAATATTCCATGTGCATAATACAATATTGAAGGGCATACCATAACAAACCATGATGTGTCTGCATCAGACTGATTTGCATGACAGAAACAGCTAAACTAAGTTCCTTAGATGAGTTTAAGTTAATTGTGTTATTCTGAGCCATATTGGTCTACAGACATTACAGATGTTTAACCTCCTTTAAAAAATGTTCCCCTCTTGTGCTTCACATATAACATTTTTTGTCTAACTTCCCTTATAAAGCACCCTCCCCATTTAGGTTGAATTTTTATAGATCAGTAATGTGGAAAATGTGTCTATTAGAATCAGTAATATGTCAAGTAAGTTTGTAAGTGTTACAGCATTAAAAAGAAGTACTATCCACAGTTCTGGCAGAAGAGGTAGAACTGTTAACAGAAATACAAAGAATTTGAAAAAGAAAAATAAATT